CCTAAATTGGGTTTACATTTTATTGCCCCTGCTCCAAAGAAAAAAGCGGGTGTAGTTCTTTATGTTAAGAAGGAATTGATGCCAAAGTTAATAGATGCTGATGCAGAAGGAAGATTTGTGTTCATTGAAATTATATTGAATGGGAAAAAATGTCTTCTTGTGGGTTTATATGCACCTAATTTATATCAACAACAAAAACTGATTTTGAATTATCTTGTGGGTTTAGAATATAGCCAATTATATCTTTGAACTTAAGCATTACCTCACTCATTTTTTCTTCCCATACAAGAGCTTTTATTTTACATAAATGAAATATTACATGTATGTATGATGCTTTTTTTTAGCCCTGTAGTTCCTCTGATATTTTTGTACAACAGTGTATTTTAACAGTTCATACCATCATCATTTAGTAGGGAATTGGTAGTCTGGAAAGTGTTCTGCTTTGTTCAGTATTTATAAATATGAATCCATTTGAAATATGAATGTTAGCAAAGTGGTCAAACAGAACATACAAAAATATTTTATATAATTATAAATAATAATAACTATTATTATTTTAAATTAATAGGGAAACATGTATGTATTTGGATTTTCCATGAAATAGCAACTTGTCTTTTGGGCTCAAGCTTGAACGAGGATTTATTTGAAACAACTATTTTATGCCATGCAAATAGTTGAATATATAACTTGATATATTGATGAGATGTCAGATTAGATATAGTGTGGGCAATACCATAAATAAAGTTTAGGAGAAAAGTAAAATATTGATGAGATGGCAAAGTCATTGATAAAAATGATAAATTATTTCTCACAATGTCCAGGTCTCCTTGACCACTTACAGGCAAGATGTGACTGTGCTTCCAGCTGAAATAGCTAGTTAACAACTTGTATTTTCAGTTTTAAAATATACTCGTGATAGAATCTGATTTGAAAGGACATCTTGATTCTATTGACTTAATAGGATACTTGAAGTATAAAGTGAAATGGACATCCTGCCTTGTGGATTTATTGGGTACTTGTTTTAATGGAAAGGCATTAAAATGAGTGGGAGGTATTCTGCTAAGGAGTAACATAACGCCACAGTATTGTTCATTGCAGTCTTTCAATGTATCTTTGAAGATGACCTTCAAGCATGCTATAGTCATTGTTGACTATAGGTTAAGGCTAAGAGAGGATTGTTGTCTCTGTTGATAGAACCTCAGATGATATCAGCTAAAACTAATTGGATTCTTTAACTAGATTCTGTTGATTAGTTTGAATAGTTCTCCTTGCTCTTATGGCAGGGGTGTCAAACTACCGGCCCGTGGGTCGGACGCGTCACCAGGAAACTGCACCCACCTCATTGCCGGCAATGGGAAAAAAGCTCCGGTATGTCGCGCGACGTCACATGACAGCGCGAGTTTGACATGTCTGTCTTATGGTATAGTGAGTATAAGATAAACTCTGCAGTATTTTTGGAGAGCTAGTGCTTGGAGCCATCTTGACAATGGCTGCTTGATTTCCAAGGACCATCATTAATAACTATGCCATAGGTTCTTCCTGCACTAAGAAAAACCTCCTATATTTAAGTGGATATAATACATTGCTACCTCCCTTCCTTCCTTGCCTTTTTTTACTTCATATTATGTCCAGTTGTTTGATCATATATAAAACTGAGTGAGGAAAAGCAGAAAAATCACCTGAAGACCATATTCTGGGTTTCTGCAGATTGGAAAATGGGTTGTCCACAAGCTGCATAGGCACATATAGCTAAAGTCTCTCAAATTGAGCTTAGCTCTTGAAAACTGCATGTCTCTGTGATGCTTTTGATGGAGGTAAGTGGTGGCCAAAAAATTGCCATTAAATGGGATTTTTTGTCTGTTTTAAACTCCCCAATAGGCAGCATAGCCCTTTTTAATGGTCTCATTTCCAACAATAGAATAGAATAGAATAGAATAGAATAGAATAGAATAGAAAGAGCTGGAAGTGACCTTGGAGGTCTTCTAGTCCAGCCTGCTGCTCAAGCAGGAGGACCTATACCATCTCAGACAAGTGACTTTCTAGCCTCTTCTTAAAACTTTCCAGTGATGGAACGCCTACGATTTCTGGAGGCAAGCTGTTCCAATTGTCCTCACTGTCAGGACGTTTCTCCTTAATTCCAGGTTGCTTCTCTCTTTGTTCAGCTTCCAACCATTGTTTCTTGTCCTGCCCTCTGTGCTTTGGAGAATAGTTTGATGCCCTCTTCTTTGAGGCAGCCCCTCAAGTACTGGAATACTGCTATCATGTCTCCCCCATTTCTTCTTTTCTTTAAACTAGCCAAACCCAAGTCCCGCAGCCATTCTTCGTATGTTTTAGTCTCCAGGCCTTGATCATCTTAGTTGCTCTTCTCTGAATTCTTTTTCCAAACTCTCAACATCTTTTTTGTGATATGGTGACCAAAATTGGCTGCAGTACTGCATTATCCAGTATAGGTTCAATTCTGCTTAGACCTGCTGACCCCAGTGATCTGTAAGTTGGTAGCTTTTTTAAAAAAAGATTCATTTTACTGCTGTTTCCAATACACTGCAGGAGAGCTAGATACAAATTAGCTCCACTGTTGAGCATAGGTCTCATTTTAGAAATCACAAAAGCCCAGAGCTGCTCTGAAACAGACAATGAGTCCTTGTACAGAAGTGCCTTTAGTTTTATATTTGGAGTGTCTTGTATTATAGCATTATCTGTAATTTTATTCAATAGTTTCTCTTCTGTCAGAGTGTACTTTACTGTTTCTATAGAAACATTAACTATTGCAATAACATTATCTTCTAGATGGACGGGGAGATTAATATATATGGTTTACACACACACACGCACACAGACACTTGTAAACTAACTCATATTTATGATGCTTGCAGTGTCCCAGGATTATGTGATTGCCCTTTTGTGGCCTTCAAATGACAGGTCATAAAATGGGGCAAAACTCACTTAATAAATATCTCACTTAGCAATATAAATTTCAGGCTCAATTGTGGTCTTAAGTCAAGGACTATCTGTATATTTCCTTCCTTCCTTCCTTCCTTCCTTCCTTCCTTCCTTCCTTCCTTCCTCTTGTATGACTGCCCATCTTAAAACATAATTCTTGGTGGCTCTCACAATAAAACCCAGAACTATAAAAACCTGGTCTTAGATCAGCGTTCAAGTACAAAGAGAATTGGATTCACAAGATTGAACTTATTAGTCATTGGTTCCATCAACAAATTATATTTCAGAAGACACGTTTATATTAGAAGGTGTAACTTTCCTGTCCTTGTTTAGTTGGTGCTTATTATGCCTGATCAAGTTTCAGGGTCTCCAAATAAGCTAGATTACTTCAAGTAGAACTTCATTTATTCTTAGGATGCTTCCCTTTTCTAGTGAGCACATCCGTAAATCTTGGCTTTCTGATACTGAATGTGGCAACATTGCTGATCATGGCTGATTTTCTGCTATGTATTCAAAATGGACTGTGATTAATACATACATACATGGATTAGAGAACAAACGAAAGTATACAACATCATCAAGAGAGTAAAAGAATTGAAATGGAAATGGGCTGGTCACAAAGCAAGAAGAACTGATGGCAGGTGGACCAAGACAGTCATAGAATGGATCCCACTTGATAAAAAGCATCCATGAAAGAGACTTAAAATAAGATGGATCAAATGACATCAGCAAGTATTGTGGGCCCAACTGGCAAACAACAGCTTACAATCATATTAGTTGGAAACAGATGGAAGAGGCCTTCATTCTGCAGTGGATAGACAATGGCTAAAATGATTGTGTGTGTGTGTGTGTATCATTTCTTCTTTTGAGAGCGGACATTGGAATTTCACTTTAATGTGTGCCATTGTACACACAGAAAAGTGTCAATAAAAGTTGTCTTATCTATCTTATCTTACATAGGCTGGGTGAGATAGAAGTCCTGATTTAACGGGGTTGATTCTGGTCCAGAAGTTGTATTAAGACCTGGCTTGTGGCTCAGTGAGTTTACTGAAGCTGTTTCCTTCCTCTGAGGAGTCATTTTTCCAATGAAGTCATGACAGACGCTGATAAAAAATCATCAGCATGATTTTGGGGTCTTGTGTCATTCCTTAAATTAATATATTGCTTATTCTGAACATTCATTGATGCTTCATCCAAACAAAACTTGGCAGAAATTCAGGTTGCTTAAAAGTAGCTAGATGCCATGGTATGAAAGTCCCTGTTCAGGATGCAGCCAAGCAATCTTGTCATCTTTTAAACCATTTCTCTCCCTCTGCCTTAGAGCTTAGCTAAGTGTGTTGTGTTCTCTTTGATATGTTCTTGTTTTCCATACTTATCTTGCTTTTAAATTTGTTTCCCTAAAAATTGTTTTGACATTTCTTCTACCCCTACAATTTTTCTTTCTTCAATAACAATAATATTTAATTAAGATTCAACTGATACTTAGAGAATGAATGTTATTTTTTAAAAATTTTGCTGTACCTTTCCTACTGAGTTGGTGATCAGAACAGTGAGATAACCTCCCAAAATAGATTTATTAAAATAGGCAAGATTCTCCATATGGTAACCTTCTTTGAGTAAATATGGCAAGCTGGTTATGTTGCATAGAATATGCTTTCCTATTCATACTATACATTTTTATCTCTCCATTTTTAGAGAAAATCAGACAAAGATATGCAGAACTGTCTGGAGAATTGCACATTATTGAACTTGAAAAAGATAAGAATGGGCTTGGACTCAGCCTTGCAGGCAACAAGGATAGGTCCCGCATGAGCATTTTTGTTGTGGGGATTAGTCCGGATGGCCCTGCAGGAAAAGATGGAAGAATGCATATTGGAGATGAACTTTTAGAGGTAATTTTTGGTTATATAAGGCTAATCAAATGGTTTTACCGATCATGGTGAAAAAAAGTTGTTTAAGAGAACTGCCAACAAAATTAATGGTGGAAGTTGCTATATGATAGAGAAATTATAAACAGGTCACCTTCTACTTGTTTCTTTTGTTCCAAAATAACAGATCAATTTTTATGTCTCAACCTAGACTTCAAAATAATTCTGATGCTTTCAGGCGAGGATTTTATTATGTGAATACGTTGCCCAGTTTTGTGGTGCTTGAAAACATTTACTTGGAAGCTTTCTCTATCCCATAAAACAATTTAATTTATAGGTATGGAATGTAGCAGTCCCATTTGGTGAATATCTTTTATTTGGGATATTTGTTCTATACACATTTTTCCTTCTGTTGGCTGAGTATGAAAAGCTGCAGGTGCATTCTGTGCTCAGTTATTTTAGAGTGATCTGTGTTAGAACTTATTATTTATTAAATTTACATGCCTCCCATATCACTATCAAGCAACTCTGGGCGATTTACAGTAACAATATAGATAACTGAAAAGTTAGAAATATTAAAACATTACGCAATAAATCAAAACATTAATACTAACAACAAACTAGAAAAAAGGATCCATCCACAACCGGGGGCGGGATCTTATCTAATCAATAATAATAATAATAATAATAATAATAATAATAATAATAATAATAATAATAATAATAATAATAATAATAATAAAGTTGGAAGGGACCTTGGAGGTCATCTAGTCCAACCCCCTGCTCAGGCAGGAAACCCTATACCATTTCAGACAAATGACTGTCCAGTCTCTTCTTAAAAACTTCCAGTGTTGGAGCATTCACCGCTTCTGGAGGCAGGTTGTTCCACTGGTTAATTGTTCTAACTGTCAGGAAGTTTCTCTTTAGTTCTAGGTTGCTTCTCTTTTTGGTTAGTTTTCATCCGTTGCTTCTTGTCCTGCCTTCAGGCGCTTTGGAGAATAGCTTGACTCCCTCTTCTTTGTGGCAGCCCCTGAGATATTGGAACACTGCCACCTTCAGAATGGGAAGTCAACATCAGCTAGTTGGCAGAGCCAGGTTTTCAAACCCTTCAGAAGGCCAAGAGGATAAGGGTGGATCAGGAGGCACAGGAACCACTCCTGGACCCTACCAGAGACAATTCCCTGGCTGATTGGACCCCACAGCATGTCTCTTCTGCTGGAATGAGTGGAGCAGGAGAATCCCATTGGAATCAGATGGTTCTTCAGGTAGCCATAAAGGGTTTTAAAGGAAAAAGGCAACAACTGATTGGAACTTGCTTCAGGGTAGTCTTATAAAAACATTAAATACTTAGCTAAATTGGTGTTTGCACAGCTAGCTCATGAAGTAGACATTGCAGGCTCAGGAAGAAAGCGTTGCCCCAAGTTTTATTTTAAATTCAGACTCAGTGATCAGAGACAGAAGCACCAAGCCCAAGAGACCTGTTGTTTTAATGGGGCTTCAAAAGGCATGTTTACAATAAGAATTGTAGGAAAGTGTACACTAACTAATCCTAAAAGTACATGGACAAAAACATACAAAACTGCCTCATATCTTCTCAGATTATTCATGTATTCTCAGTAGGCCTCCATTCTATTACAGCCTGGCTATTTTACTTTCTACCAAACATATTCCTGTATTGATTGTACTGAGCTCTGGCCCTTCCATACATTCCAGCAGCCAATTCATTTTTGTACAGATAGGCAAGCTATTATTCTCTCTCATTTTCAATTCCTCATCTGTATGTGGGAACAATGCTAGTCTGGCAAGCATTGATAAGGTAAAAAGGAAGGTTCTTTGAAAGTAGTGGCTGAAAAAAAGAAAAAAGATGCTGGTGTTTTTTTTAGAGCACTCTTTCTTCCAACAGAAAAAAAGAATTCAGACTCAGAAAAATGCTCAACATTTACAGAAATTTTCACACTTTTAAATAACTGGCTTTCAGTATAACTTCAACTATGTGACCTGTGGAGCAATCATATAGAACTGTCTTATTCGTGTGTATCGTAATCTCCTTGTGGAGCTTCCGCATATGTTGATCATTTCACCTAAAATTAATGAGAGCTGAAGTAGATCTAATGCATCTTGACAACTATCAGACAGCAGCAGAAAGATATTAGAAATTGGATTTCTGATAGGCCTGTGCTGAAATGCAAAAGATCTGAAGGTTAACAAATAAGACAAGACTGACATAGCAAGGTATGTCAAGACACATTGCATTTAAAATATATATATATATATTATTAAATTTCCAAAATGAATAATAGGAAATAATAGGAAAGTAATAGGAAAAAATAATAGGAAAAAAGCAGGAGAAAAAAAATCAAAGGTATAATAGGGAAAGAAAAGAAATATAGAAAAAGATATAGAAAAAGAGTAACTTCCAACTTCCTGCAGTGCAGGTACAGATATATAATAACTTTGCCTCTAACTCTACGTTTAAATAAAAAATTAAAGGCATAACGTGTAGAACGTGCATAACAAACGAAAGCAATAACATTACAGAATATTTCTATAATCGAAACGGATCTAGTCGTCAAATCTACAAATCAGAGTGTCTGAGCAAGAAATCCAAAAGTGGTTTTCAAATGAAAACAAAACTAGCAAATTTCTGCTGTTCGTCAAAGTGGCCAATTTTGCCATATTACTCGGCTCCATTCATTTCACAACCCATTCTTCCATTATAGGATTTTGCGTAACTTTCCACCTTTGTACGTATAAAAGTCTTGCTGCTGTTATCATCTGCACAGTAAGAACCAAGTCCCCATGTTCCCTTTCCATCGGTGTGTCTAAAAGAAAAACCTCTAGCTTTAACTGTGCATCAATTTTCAGTATCTTCTGCTGCTGACTGCCGACTGCCAGCAGTTTGGCAGTTCGATCCTGACCGGCTCAAGGTTGACTCAGCCTTCCAACTTTCAAAGTCATAAAATGAGGACCCAGATTGTTGGGACAATATGCTGACTCTGTAAACTACTTAGAAAGGGCTGTAAAGCATTGTGAAGAGGTATATAGATCTAAGTGCTGTTGCTATTTCCAACACTTACGTAGCATTTGCTTATACCCTTTGACAATATATCAGGTGTTAAATACCAATGATACATCATTTTATAAAGATTTTCTTTCACATCATAGCTCAATATAAACTCCAGTCCTTTACTCCACATGATTTTCCCTAGATCTAGCATAATATTTTATCCAAAGCTTTTTGCCCATTTAATCATACAATTTTTATTGTCCTCCTGATTAATTTTCAATAGTATTTTATATATATTAACAATAAGATATTCATCATTAGTATAGATAGTTCTTGATTCATGGTCACAACTGAGCCCAAACTTTCCGTTGCTAAGTGAGACAGTTGTTAAGTTACTTTTGTCCTATTTTGCAACTTTTCTTGCCACAGCTGGTAAGTGAATCACTGCAGCTGTTAAGTTAGTAACCTGGTTGTTAAGTGACTCTGGCTTCCCCATTGAGTTTGCTTGTCAGAAAGTCACAAAAAGTGATCACATGACTCTGGAACACTGCAACCATCATAAATATGAGTTAGTTGCCAAGCATCTGAATTTTGATCATGTGACCACGGCGATGCTGCAATGGTCATAAGTGTGAAAACGGTCATAAATCACTTTTTCCAGTGCCGTTGTAACTTCAAATGGTCACTAAGCAAACTGTTGTAAGTCGAAAACGATCTGTACCTAGCTCCCTTTCAAAATCTGTTTCTTCGTCTACAAAAGCAAATTTCTTTTTGTTCTATTTAAAATGGTTTGACTCCATCAATTCTATTTAATCTTCTAATTTCATATTTTTTTTTGCTGATTGTTAATTTTAAAACCTGCTAGCATAGCAAATTCCCTTAATTTTCCCATTAATATTTCTCCTCCCTCTAGAAGATTTTCCAAAACTAACACTAGGTTATCTGCAAATGCCCTTAACTTATGCCTTTCTTGGGAAAGCTTGATTTTGCAACTCAGTTGCTTTTTAATAAATGTTTAATTTTTTTTTGGCAGAACTAAAACAATATTAAAATGACCTCATTTGTGCTGCATGTAAGCAAGGATACACAACATATTCTGTAGGAATATGCTTTTAATTTACATTGATCTCGACAAAATGGGTGGCACACAAATTTAATAAATAAATAAATTTGCAAGAGGCAGGATAAAGTGTTGTAGGACCACCAACGTATCTAACCCACTTTCCTCACTGAAATTCCCCGACATATAAACTGTTGCTTGTATTTCTGCATTAGCAAAATTTTAGCTTGTGGGTTACAAGAATAACCAGCCATACTAATTCATTGCAAACTATTATTATTTCATAGGAAAAGTATTAAATAAGAGAATAACAATAATGCAATAATTATCTTATTTAATGCTTCTCCCCAAAATTATTTCTCCATAGTCTTCTGTTTTTGAATACTGTAATTAAGTAATTAAAAACCAGTTAATTATGTGTAGTTCATTTACAAAGCATTTCTAATATTAATTTTAGAGGGCAGAATATTAATTCTGGCTTAAGTTTTCTTCAGGGGATGAAAGTAACATTAATGAAATGTAAACATTCTTGAACAACATTAGACCAAAAATAATCAGAAATCAAGAGTTAACTTTAAGTGCCCAGTTTAAGCTAAGTAGTTTTAGAAAAGGAAAACAAACTTTAGTAGAAATAATTTTTCAGATTAATGTACTTCCCTTCAGGAAACACAGCCATTATATCCTCTTTCTTAAATTTCACCTATTAGTTTTCATTATCTTACGTGCCACATCCCCCTTCAGCAAAATATTTATGATGCCATCTGCTCTAAAACTGTTGCTTACAATTGGAACTGTCTCGGTTAAATAATGCTTTTAATCTTTGTTCATAATTTGGCCACTCTGTTCATTCATTTATCTTATTTCCTGTTGAACTTTGCTATTTCTTTTTCCTATTTACCTGCATTTCACTTATGATAATGCCTATAAATCAGTAGATTTTAGTATTAAAGTAAACAGTTCATTCTTCCATGAAGCCTGCAATAAATGTCAAAGTGCTTGAGCTTTTATTTTTTTAGAAGAAACCACAACATGCTCTGTGTATGTGTGTTCATGTTTTAGGGGCACATATTCATAGTTTATAAAATTAGTAATAAAGTAGCTTGGCATCCTGCTAATAGAGATCAAACTTTCTGACTTTTCATTGGAAGCATTATTTGATTAAATCTACATCTGAGATCCTTTATTTGCTTACATCTAATGGACAGAATCTTGCCAAATTAAAGCTATAAATTTCTAACATACTACATATATCATGAGAGCTTCTAGGACAGGGGTCTCCAACCCCCGGTCTGTGGACTGGTACCGGGCCACTGCATGCCAGCAACCGGTCCGCACAAAGAAGCAAAGCTCCATCCGCGGGATGCAGGCAGTTCACAAAACCATGCCTCCCTCCAGTCTGTGGAAAAATCTCACTCTACATAAGCAGTCCCTGGTACTCAAAAGGTTGGGGACCTCTGTTCTAGGGTGTGGCTACCCTGAAACTCTTCCCCCATCCTCTATCCAGCTCCAGACTACTCAGTTTCTTAAGCTGGATGTCTTTCTGGGAAAGCTCTGGATTGTCAGAAGTCTCCCCATCTGCTCCTCCAGGTGCATATCCCATCACAAACAAGACTTTTAAGTTTTTAATTTTGATTCTGAAAGCAGAACCGCCTTTACAAAAAATGTATGCAATGTATCCAGCAATGAATTTATTTTTAAATTACATTTTTCCAGTGCTTCTTGCTGGAAAAAAACAACAGTACCGTTTGATTTTCTAGCACTTTCTGACTTCTGTGCATAAAAAGTTATATTTTCCAACTTCTAGAGAATTTTTTTAATTTTGCTATAACAAAAAAATATTTATTTTTTTAAAAAGTTTCCATTCCTACATTTGCTATTTCCTATGTATAAAGCCATCTTTGTAGCAACTAACTTCCCAACATATTTATTATCTTGACACTATCATAAGATGCATAATATGCACATACACACATGTACACACTTTCCATGAGAATAGGGCCATTAAATCAATCATTTTGTGCATGCTCTCTCTCTGTCTTTCCCTCTCAGAAATTTAATTTTACAAAAAGTAAATATAGATTTTTTTTAAACTGCTAGCATTACCCGTGTGTGTTTGCGAAGACACACATAAAAATTAAATCTTGCTTTGCATGGAATTTTGCCATGATTTCAAATTTCCAAGCAAATGCCTTGAAAAAGATTAGCCTTAACTATTTTTTGTCTTTCAAGTATTTGTATGCATTGTCTTAATAAAACTGCTGGTGTGCTTAAATCTCTTCGGTAATACTGATCTGTGACTTTAAAAGGAAAATGGTAAAGTAAGGTAAAGCTCCAATATGGCTTGACTTGATAATAGATTTAAATCTCTTTTATTCTGCAGCATTTCCAATACATTCAGTCATATTGTTTGAAGTGGCATATGCCCCAAATTATGTTGAAGCAATCAATCTTACTCCCCAAATTATAGCAATGACATAATTATTTCCTGTTGATTATCAGCATTATTCACATGATTGGCTAATGTAATGCTTTAAAAAAAAACAAAAAACCAGAAACGTCCTGTTTTTCAAGGAAGAAATTACAATCTCCTTATCCACTTTGCCCTTTTGCTTTTCTTTATTTTTGCCTGTAACTCAAAATAAGATTTAGAGAAAGGGAGGGGGAGTTATGCAATGTTGTAATAAAATTAGAAGTAATAGTGGACCTTTTGTTTCTTTTTAATTGGTAAATGTTCTTTACAAAACAGATAAATAACCAGATTTTATATGGGAGAAGTCACCAGAATGCGTCTGCAATAATTAAGACGGCACCATCAAAGGTCAAACTGGTATTTATACGGTAAGAATGATAATCATTAACAGTTGGGCTGATGAGGTCAAGAAATAATAGCCTGAAGTGAGAAATAAAATATTCAGTATTGTCATAAAACTGAAAGCTGCTAACATGTTTAGTCAAGGGCAAAATATTTAAATGTTTTGTAACTATTTTGTACCAAAAGTGAAGGCTGTCACATTAGCTATGCAGAGAAAAAAGTCAGAAATTCATTTGAGGCAGTAACTTCATTAGGCTAATTGAGGATTGCACAGTCAAGCTTTTGAATTTGAAGAATTCTTCATCATGCAGCTGTATTTTAGAAAAGAAGAAAAAGTGGAGGAAGAATAATTGTGATTAATAATGTGTTCAGGCCAATTTTAATAAAGGAATATAACGTGTCAATAGGCTATGGATATTTTGGCTAGTTCCTGTCAGGTCAGAGAAGAGGATTGTCAAAAAAAGCTTCTGGGATGGAGAAATATGTAAACAGCTGGATTTTCTCCTTCTATTTTTGAAACTATTAAGAAAGTGTTAAGTTGTTTGTAGGTATGTGCATGCACACCAGTTTCTAGATAATTTAAGGTGATGCTGTTGATTTAAGAAACCATTCAAGGCTTAGCTGCTGGATATCTGCAGAAGCACCTTCTCCAGAAACTTCACCTTTACCAGTATTGTCTTGCCCCATTAGATCTTGTAGGGAGCAGGTGCTGACGGGCCCACATTTCTGTGAAGTGAAGGACCCCATGGTGAGAATAACAGAATAACAGAGTTGGAAGTTCTTCTAGTCCTACCCCTGCTCAAGCAGGAGACCCTATATCATTTTTGACAAATGGTTGACCAGTTCCACCTTAAAAGCCTCCAGTGTTGGAGGTATGGTGGCAGCACATTCTGGAATAACCTCCTCTTGGAGATTAGACTAGCCACATACCGGTATCTGGTGGACTGGTGCTAAAACCCAATTTATTTTGAGGGAATTTTCTTGATTTAATACAATTGTGTCATTTTATAATTTCATTTACTTACTTACTTCTATTTTTACAATACATTATTCTGTCGTATGTGTTTTAATTGTTACATGTTGTAACAACTCTGAGTGGGTGGCAGTTGAAAAAAAATACACACAAAAAAAACCAGGGAAAAGTACATTTACTTATTTATTTATTTTGTATTGTGTCTGTGGCTCTTAGCCAGAATTAGATATTCTTTTTTAGGAACAGATCAAGATAGTTTTTGCCATTCTTCCCTCACCTGGTACCTTCAGATGTGTTGGGCCTACCAACCAGTTGCTGAAGGCTAGTCTACACATGTTTTGTTTCTTATAAAGGAGAATATTTGTAGCTAAGGTTTGAAATGAGGGGTTCTTGGTGCTTTCTGAACTTGCTAATTTTCTTGCAGACATTTCATTAGCCAAACTAGGTAACATCATCAGTGCTAGTTTTGTTTCTTGTTTGGAAGAGAAAAAAAATGGAAGAGGGCTGTTTTTTAGTCTCTTTCCAATACTCAGATTTTAATATTGATCAAAGAATAATACTGAGTAAATACTGTTGCTGAATGAATCTTTACACCATACATTTGTTTTGAAGTATATCTAGTTAAATCTTAAAGTCTACTATGGACAGATCATGACTACGAAGGAAAAGCAGTGCTACTAAAATAAATCCCCTCTACTTTTTATTCCAAGACTTCCATGGGTGATTAATGATCTTGCTTCCAGCCTGATTTTCCTTTTACACCATTATTGAAAATTAAATGTCATGTACAAAAGTTCACTCCCCGCTGCTTAATTGGGAAATAGGTTGGGAGAAAGCAGACGTTGTGTGGCAAAAAATATATATACAGAATTGGATGTGTTCATTGTGACTGGTTGTGGTGCAAAAAATTAAACAACCAAAAGAAATTTCATCCCGTTGTATCTCTAAATATGTTTGCTTTTCTTATGTATTTAAATTAGAATATAACTACAAAAGAAGAATGTATCTGTTAGGGTTACACTGTAAATTGATCTAATGTTTATGTAAAATTTACAATATGTGAGAATTATTCAGTCTCCCTGTCACCACATGGATAAATACAGTCGGCCACATATATGCCTTGAAGAAATGCAGAGGACAATCTAGGCAGCATTTACTCAAATGAGAAAAGTTCACAGGCCAAAAGGAGTCCCAGCTACACTGTCAAGATGGAAACCTAATTACTATACTCTATTCATGAGAATTCCATCTCATTAGTAATGTTGTTTGGCAAATTTAGGAATTGGAAGGAGATAGTGAAAACTAAGCATGAACACAGCATGTTCATTTGTTAGCAATGAGATTTGATATTCTCTTTGCAATAAAGAGATCTGGGCATACTCAAAATTACCTTAGGAACTTGATGTCTGCCTAAACAAAATGTTTGAATTAAAGATGAGATCAAAGGATTCCTAGGTCCTTTCCTTTTTATTTTAACATTTTAACTTTAAAGTAAATCAAAGCTACTTCATAAGTAACTTTTCTTTTCCCTTATAATTCAGTCATTAATTTTATATTGCTTAATAGTTGCAGGATGGGGAAACAAAAGGCAAATGCTTTATGCTTTTATACAAAAGACAGCTTACTTTACTGTTTAAAATATATCTGCAATGGAGCAGTTTTGTTTGAAGCAGAGCTAAAATATCAACAAGCACAACCAACTAGATAATGAGAAGCAGCCTCTTTTGACCTAAATTTTTGTTTTCTTTCTATGATGAATTTGGCTTTATGTGATTAAAATCATGCACAGTGCAGTTTTAGTGAAGATGGGAAATGGCAGATGCCAAGAGTGCATTAAACATTAGTCATACCAGACATGCAGCTGTTGCTCAAAATGGCAACCCAATATAGAGTAGTTCATCTTGCCATGGATAAATATTGTGGTTTTTGTTCTCAGTGCATATCACTGACTTCCAAGTGAAAAATATTTTTGTCTGATTTTTCCAGCACATAGATTTGTACTTTTCTGCATATATGAAAGCTATATGCCTTCCTTCCTTCCTTCCTTCCTTCCTTCCTTCCTTCCTTCCTTCCTTCCTTCCTTCCTTCCTTCCTTCCTTCCTTCCTTCCTTCCTTCCTTCCTTCCTTCCTTCCTCTTTGAATCAGCAACAAATGCTCTTAGTGTTTTGGGAGTGCCCATGCTGCTCCATTCTGCATTGGTTAAAGCTTCCAGATATACTCCAAGGGCATCTCTATGTAGAGTTCATTGTAGTAGTCCAATTTGGCATGAGTGATTCTTAGCAGGGCTTGCTGATTCAGGAACAGGCAGACTGACACACAAGACAAAACTATGCAAATTCCCTCCTAGTCATTATTGTCACCTGCTCATTGAGCAGGAGTGATGAATCAAAGAGAATGACTGGGTTGCATCCTGGGTCTGTCTAATATTTCCTTCTTAGAACCTCATGTCGAAATTTAATTTATAGCGATTGAATGGGATTCAGACCATGCCAATCATATGACCCTGTCTCTAGTGAGTAGCCATAGTTTTTCTAATTACATTCCTTGATTCCATTCATTATATTTCTCTTTTTTTTATTTATCTCAATCTTTCTTTTCCTAGTCCATTTCCCACTTTTCGTCCTCCATTTGCATCAGATGTTCAAAATACTTGAATTTCCAGCTGTTGATCATTTTCTCAATGAAGCAGTTAGCCCACCCACTTTGTTTTTGTCTAGAACCAATCAATTAGTTCTTCTTAAAGTCCAGAGTATACATCTATCCTCTAATTCTGGCTAAAAGTCTCCCATTTGATTCAATTTCTTCCAGTTCTGCCATGTTTACTTTGCCTGTATTATAAACAGATTTGGAGATTAATTGTTTCCTGCCTTATTCCACTACCACCACCACCACCACCACCACCACTTTGTTTTATTCTGAAGCATTTCTCCAAATTCAGCTCTTACAGTAGTTTCTCATTCAGGATATTTCTGAATGAAATATTGAATGTACATCCATAATTTTAATATATTCCAGATTCTCGCATGATCTATGTGATCAAAGGCCTTGCTGTATCAATAAACAAAGGTTAATCTCCTCCTTAAACCGTCTTGCTCTCTCCTTTACCCAGCTAAAGCTAGATATCTGATCTCATGGCTCATTCATTTATCTTTTCTCTCATCAACTATGGATGTTTTCTCCTGTGCAAGATCTTATTCAAAACACTGTATGCATGAGAAGTATTGCAATGGTTCAGTTAAATTCTTTCTTCTCGTGCAACTCCCTTCTTTAGCATAGATATATACAATGATCTTTTCCAGTCTCTAACCCGTTGTTATGTTGTTTTTGCTGTTTTCAGTTTTGGTTCTTTATTTATACAACATTTCCTTACTGTTTTTCTGAGCCACCAAGACTCCCGGAAATGAGACGGGTGGCCATATAAATGTGTTATATTTCATTTCAACCTGCTACTGTTCTTTGTGATAGTTCTTCTGTTGCCCATTGTGCCATTGTGTTTTCTAGTGGAAACAAGTTCCTGAATACTGAATACTGTATTTCTCTAAAAACCTCTTTAAAAAAACAGTTCTGTAAAAATGCTTTTGCCTGCCTACAGTTCAATTTGTAAAAAGCTTTATCTCCCATTTCTAAAAGTCTTTCCCTAACCTAACTGAATTTCCTCTATTAAATCTCTCCCGCTATTATTCTTGAGTACTCTGGTGTTTGTAAATTTTTCTTTAAATTGCGTAGTTTTTTTTTCTTCTTTTTCTCTATTTGCTGACATTCTTAGCTATTGTATGTTTTCTTGTTTTTTCTTGGCTGACATTAAACAAGTGTGTGCTCACTCATCGTGTCTTAAGAGTTGTGCAAGTTCTGACCTTTTTTTTCCTATTCCCACTTGATGTCATTTACTTAGAGGCCCAAAAGAAAGAAGGAGGTAAAACAGAATGACATCAGTGTAGGGTTTTTTTCTCTTCATAATATGTGGTGCTGAACAGCAAAATCTTTCAGCAGGGTTCTAACTGCACAATTGATGGGCTGGATCAGCGGACAGGAGGGAATTTGCAATTTCAATAGCAGTCTGCAGTCACTTTTTAATTGTCCCTAATGCCAGTTGTAGGCAGTGCCAGTAGTTTCAGCCTAGAGGTTAATACAGCTGCCTAACATGCAAGCAGCCCAGGTTCAAATCTCAGAAGGGTATGGCTAGCTGATGAGAGCTAAATAGTTCAAAATAGCTATACTAGTCTCCCTTTAATTCTTTGTCAGCAAAAAAAAAAAGAAATAGTTGCAGTAGTGACTTGACCTGCAAAACGCTTTTACTATATTTACAAATAACTCAAGGCAGTGAACCTATCCAACACACTTTCCTCCTCTGTTCCCCCCACAACAACCCTGTGAGATGAATTGGGCTAACTACTTAACATCATTCTGCACAGATTTGATTATATCACTTAGCAACATTGGATTTCTTTAAAAATGCATTGGTGCAGAATGGCATGAACATTTTTAAAATCTGTTTTACATTCATTATTACTAAAAAGGACTCCCTGTTGGTTGTTATTTTATGCAGGCAAATTCTAATCCACTCAGAGAACCATAAGATGATTTATATAGCTAAGCAATAAAACAAGTCAGTTTATCCCCTTATACTTTTTTTCTTGCTTTCTTTCATTCCACATTCTTAAGAACTATACGAGTTCTGGGAAATTCTCAACATAGTACTTTTGGGGAAATTTTAAGGTGTTGTAACTTTGAACAATCACTAAATGAATGGTTGTAAGTTGAGGACTACCTGTATTGGTACAATAATAATAAAACATATTTTTGAAAGTACAGCATTGAATACAGCAGTCATACGGAAATAATTAGTGTAATACAAATTTGATTAAAATATGTACCATCGTTTAATTACTACAGCACAGAGCAATAATGAAAATGCTATTGGAACTGATCAGATTATTCCAACTACAAACAGGGCACATAGAGTAACGTTATTAAAATTTTCATAATAGAAAATACAAATGAAAATAAATATCGTAGGAAAATGGGAAGGGGGAGAAGAAAGGTATAGATACAGTGGGAAAGAAATAAACATCAACTTCCAACTTTTTTCAGCACAGTAAAATACAGAATAAAATTTCAGTGTCAACTTTTTTACTTTACCAACTTAACAAATACTGGCCATTTCTATAATAACAAATCAGCAAAACCCCATGTCAAGAGTTTGTTTTTTTTCTACCTTAAGCACAATGTCCAGCAGCAGTTCCCAAGAAGAAACAAACCTTTTCTCTGATTAAAGCAATCAGTTTTGCCATTTCTTCTACCTCCATCACTTTTCTTTTCCCATCCATTTTTCTATGGTGGAGACTGGAATATCTTTCTGTTTCCAGGTGTATAAAATTCTCACTGCAGTCAACATAACAAAATTCCAGATCTTTTTTCCAACTCCCTTATCTAGTAATCCATACAGAAAGCCCTTTTGAAATAGGATTGTTCTGCTCAGCCTCATCATCCTTTGGGAAATAGTCCTTGTTTTTTCATAAGCATCTTGTGTTAACTGTCTGCAACTGAACATATGGAAATGAGCTACGTTTCTCCAAATAATGGTACATATCTATCCTGGATGCTAATTACCTGGTCCATTTCTTGCTGGAAATATATTGTTAATTTTGCTTTGCTTTGATTTAATTTATGAAGTTAATAGCTGTACAGATCACAAATGTAAATAAATGGGGTGGTTTTTTTTGTTTTGTTTTGGAGGCAAGTATTAAAAGCAGATGATGTAGCAATCTCAATTTGGTTAAGTATTTTGAAATGAGGGACCTAAAACCCTTTTGTGAATCACAGAGGAAAAGAGGTTGCAAATATGATAAACAACTATAACTCACCAGAGAGAGGGCAAGGAGGGAGATTGAATGTGAATTGTCCTTTTAGTTTGACTAATCAATTATTTTTCTCTTGACTGTTAGCAGTGAAGATGCATTTAACCAGATGGCTGTAGCTCCTTTTCCATTACCCTCTTGCACTCAGTCTTCCAATGAGGTAAGAATGCTTTCCAACGTATTATAAATGAGAACAATTAATCATAATTAGCTTTCTATAATCCCAACATGTATATAATTAAATCCTAACAGTGAGCATTAGAAATATCCTTTGGCTACAGAAAGAACAGTTACTAAGTGATGTAATCAATGAACGAACATTTCCACAATGTAAGTTAAGAGCTATTAAAAACAGAGATGAATTGGATAGAAAACTTGCATTTGTGATATTATATTGTCCAAGTAAAGTAAGTCCAAATTATTTCATTTGATAGTAGAAATATCTTAAAACTGATATTTAGGCAAAGTTTCTTTTGGAAGTTAAAATGTACTTTTCCTCAGTCTTAGAAAGGAGGCAGACAGACAGTAAGCTACCCAGAATCCTCTGGAGTGGGCAGCCATAATAAATGTTAATAATGATAAATAATAATAGCATGCAATATAAATATTCAAAATTGGTATGACTAGGTTATGTATATTCACAAAAACATGGTCCAACTTTTTGTGAAGTTATCCCATATTGTATAATTAATAAGAACTGGATATCTTTTAAATTCAGGTAGTCTTTGGGTTATGACCACAACTGGAACTGGAAAATCTGTCACTAAGTGATGTGGTTGCAAAGCACGACATCATGGGATCGTATCATTTAGTGATGGCAGTCCCAGTTGCCATTGTAACTCCAGGACTGTGTAGGTCAGTGATGGCGAACCTTTTAGAGACTGAATGCCCAAACTGCAATCCAAACCACTTATTTATCGCAAAGTGCCAGGGCTGCATCAGCATTGTGGTGCCCTCAGGGGGGCATGTCCCACTAGATGGGCGTGGCTGCACTGGTCCTGGCAGATTGGGTGAGCGTGGCCAGGGCCAGGGCAGCGGGGGCCAGTCCCTCGCCTTCTCCAGGGCAACCCCGGGTGCCAACAGCGCTTGCTCGCTCACTTCCTGCCTTGCCGCTTCCAAACACCACGTGCTCGCTACTCTAGTGAACTCTGCTGGGGCAACGGTGTGTGCCACAGAGAGGGCTCTGAGTGCTGCCTCTGGCACGCATGCCATAGGTTCACCACCATTGGTGTAGGTCATTCAGGAAGAAGCAGGAATCCCAGGTAAGCAGACTGGCAGGTGATAGCTGTGGCCAGGCAGTTGCCATGGATGGCAGGGGAGTGCTGTGGGCAGGCACTATAGAGTACAAATAGATGAAAAAGGAGCAGTAGAAGAAGCAACTTGTCAACTTCCCCATCGACTTGGCTTGTGGGAAATCAGCAGAAAAACTCAGAAATCCTGATTGTGTGACAACAGCTTGCTGTGATTTTGTCATCTACTCGAACCATGACTCGTGGGTCTGATACTCGTGTACTGACGTCCCTTCGACGTTACAGGTATTGAGGTTCCTGGTCAGTATTCAGGGGGAACAGATCGTAGTAGTATTGAAACTCACTAGTATTGAGTTCCTAATGGACGTACTTTGATATCGACGACGGAATAGGTCTGACTCGGCTTGGACCCCGAAGAATTTCACAGTTTCTACACCAAGCACAATTCTCTGATATCATGCATTACAGAAGACTATAGTATTCTATTGGATCAGATGTTCTTTTGCTATTTAACCAGCAATCACAGTTTAAAGAAGCAAAAATATGTGCAAAACTGCAGCTTTTCTGTTGGCAGCTAGAGAAAGCTACTAGCTGGCTCTGACAGTGCATTCTTTCATGCCAGCAGGCAGAGAGGATGAAAAAAAAAAAAGCAGAGCAGCAGTGCAAACAGTGAGGAGGGAGCCAAGAAAAAAGCAACTGTGTGATGTGGTTGTGGGGGAAGATGACAAAAGACAGAGCATTGGCAGCAAAATGGATGAAGGTGGCTGAAAGTGTTGACAGCACTCTCTGGATTCTGCCTGAAACTATCTCTGAGCACATTATCTAAGGTCTCCTCATACTTGGAATCCTACATAGAAGGATAAAACACCCAGACACAAATTGAACAATGTGATATATGCAATACAATGCAGTGAGACATGTACAGATCTGTACAATGGAGGAACAAAACAATCACTTCATAAACGCATGGCACAACATAGGAGAACAAACCAGTCAGGACAACATTCAGCAGTCCATCTGCCTTTGAAAGACAAAAATCACTCTTTTGAAGACAGCAAAGTCCACATTCTGGACAGAGAGGAACACTGATTTGAAAGAGCGGTCAAAGAGGCCTGCTACATAAAGATTGAACAGCCCTCTCTCAACAAAGGGGGAGGGATACTACACCACCTATCTCCTATTTACTACACAATCCACACAGAAAAAGCAGATAAACATCCAAGTGACCTCAATGACTCTCAGAATGAATGCTAATGACCAGATGACTGCAAGGAATATAAATCTTCCATCCTCCACCATTCAGTCAGAACGGAAAACCTTCTTGGATGAGAAGTCAAATGTTTTCAAGGAAAAACAAAGTCCTTTTGAAAAACCACCTTTGGGGCAGTCATGATCTAGATGACTGAGAATCTCCATAGACAAATACATAGAATCCTGTTTAGGGAAAAGCCATTTTGTCCATCAAGTTCAATCAGCCTGCTCAGTGCACTGAACTAAATTAAAGGACTCCAGGTTGTCTATTTGAGTTTGTCAGCTCTCAGAGCAATTAGCCTTCCTGTCTAACTGGTCTACTGTTAGGATATTTTCTAATATTGTGTCAGAATCTGCTTTCCTGTAACTTCAATTCATTATTGTGTATCCTATGCTCTGGAATGAGAGAAGCATATTTTGAAAAATGTTATAATTTTCCTGTTCAGTCATCTGAACATATCTTCCTAGCACTTAATTTCTATTGCCATAATCATTTGTGTCTCCCTTCTCTGAACTGGTTACAATTCCTCTAAATCTTTAAGGATGCCCTGGAGGATGCCAAAATTGGACAAAGTACTATAAGAAAAGTCTTACCAAGGCAAAGAGCAATGGTTTTTTAAAACTTTAGAAGCTATACTTCTGTTTCCTAGATTCTTCTTTCTCCTCTTTGTGAGGACAAGGATAACTTTTTCCGGTTGTCTAGCATTTCACCAATTCACTAGGCTTTCTCTGAGGTAATATGTAAGGTTCAGCCAGATTACCAGGTACTTCCTTCAGTAGCCCTAGAGTACAATTCATCTGGTGCCGGAAATTTAAAGTAATTCAAGAGCTAGTTTTGGAGACTGAATTCTCCTTCACAAAGCCAGCTAAGTGATCTTGGGCCAGTCACTTTCTCTCAGCCCTAGAGAAGAGGTAACAGCATACTATTTCTGAAATCTTGCCAAGAGAACTTCAGGAACTTGTCCATGTTGTCACTCAGAATCAAAACTGACTTGAAGGCATGCATGCAAGAATACACACACACACAAACACACTCTAATGTACGAAGAGCAGGGTGAAAAAGCAGGACTAAAGCAGGGTGAAAAAAGGACTAAAGTTTGAGGCTGATAGAAACTAAATCTCTCTCAACATTAAATGTACAGCCTATCAGTAGCCTTCTTTGAAAAATGAACAGAAATGCCGCCTTCATCTTTAGGATCTTCAACTTCCTCCTGAGATTTCCATAGTCCTTGGTGATAAGCTGTTCGCATTATTCTTCGCCTCAACAAGTATGAACAGAAATGGATTATAATCAGTAAGCCTGATATGACTTGAAAATTCTTTTAATTCATCCCTGAACCTTGTTCCTAGTGAATGAATGTACCAGGATGTCTTCCTGGATTTGTGTAGCATCTAAACATGCTGGACTGTGTGAATAACCCAACAGAGACATATGTGTACAAAGAGAAAGTTATCAAGTGATTGTAGAAAAGGGAATTATTTTCCACTGCATTTATCAAAGTATACATTGCTTATATTACCCCCCACCGACCTGTACGCTCTCACAGAGTGGGTCTCCTCAGGGTGCCGTCGGCCAGGCAGTGCCGGCTGGCGACCCCAAGGGGGAGGGCCTTCTCTGTGGGAGCTCCCACCCTCTGGAACGAACTGCCCCCAGAGATCAGGGTGATCCCTGATCTCCCTTCCTTCCGCCGCGCCCTCAAGACGTGGTTGTTCC